AGGATTTAAATTCAATTATATAGCTTTGCAAAAATTAAAACATTCTTCTGTCTGTTGTGCAATAGAACAGAAGGTAATATAAAACCCAGAATACAAGAGTATGGAATAATCGTATACCTTTCCTTTGTCTTTCCTTTGCATCTTTCCCAGTCACGATAGCAAGGGAGTAAAGAGATTCAGAATGCGACTGGTATTTCTGACAAACAGATGAACTATGTGGGGAACATGTGCATGATCCAAAAATAATCCCACAGAACCTTTGATATTCCATTTGGTTTCAAAAGTGTGAAGTGAGTGATTAGAATGATAAAAGAAATTACTGAGTAGGAAGAGGCATAATAATGAACTAATTAAACCGTACTGCAGCTCATTTCTAAAATATTCACTGTGCCATTGATAAAATGGGTTATCAATAACCGCTGCATTGATTTAAAAATCGGTTTGGTATTTTTATTACAAAATGCTCACAGAGAGACTCTTCACTGTTTATTTCAATATATGTACATAAAAATTTAAAAGCCAACCATTCTTGCTGCTGCTGCTGCTGCTGAATGCCACTCCTAGATGCTCCTAGATGCTTTGCATGCAGAAGGCTGCAGGTTAAATCTCTTGCATCTCCAGGTAGCACTTGAAAGATGCCTGCCTTCAAACTCTAGAGAGCTACAGCCAGTCAGTGTAGACAATACTCAGTGAGATGGACCAAAGGCTTGATTCAGTCCTATATTTCAAATGTGAGCTGCTGCTTCTCCTTTAGACTAAGGTTACCAGATGTCCCCGTTTCCTGGGGACAGTCCCGGGGTTTACAAATCAGCCCCCATACAAAATCCGTTGAAGTTGGCAAGTGTCCCCAGATTCATTGGAAAAAAATCTGGTAACCTTACTTTAGACCTGCCAGAAAATTGCTCTCCAATTGGATTAATTTTGGGGGGACAGACAGACGGTGGATCTGGTTTCACGATGTGTCGAAGCAGCAAATAAATATGGAAATGAGGCTCCACTAGTGAGCAGGTTATGATTTGCCCCTTGCATCTTCTGTATTAGTATCATTTTTACCAGTTTCATGCTGTACAAAACTGGTCCAGAGAGCTACTGCACTGGACCTGGGCTGATCTCATTGAATGCAAAAGTACCCAAAGCGAAGTGGCTGGTCTTGCAATCTCACCTCCTTTATGTTTTGCAGTATGCATTATTCATAATAATCAATGGAGACAATGGAATTTAAAAGCGTTTCACTTTGACTGGATTGGACCCAATGGCTTTGTAATATTATTTATGCTGTCATTCAGGTGTGATAATTCTTAACAAGGATATCCTTTAGTGTGCAACGTTTAGAAATAGTTTGTAAAGACACTAGTATGTTACTGAAGACTTTATTGATTCTATTAAACGTGATTCTATCACATTTGTCACTGGAAATACATTGGTCACGTGTTCAATACCTTTCCCAATAGCATGGCATACAGAAATCCTTGAGGGCTGATTAAATAACCCATTCCACTAAGAAAAATAGTGTCTGTATCTGTTGTTACTTAGGACTGGCTTGGCCACTGAAAATTTGGGATATCGATCTATGGTGGCAGTTAGTTTTTAAATATAAATTAGATGGGAAAAATGCTAGAGAACTGTTTGAGGAGAAAGTTATTCATTTCCCACCGGCTGCAATGGCAGCTGGGTGAGATGAGCATCTGTTCTGTTACTCTTTATTTATAAGCTGCCTTTCAGCCAAAAAGGCGGCTCACAAGAATAAACAGATATACACTAACAATACAACTGATACAAATTAAAAACATTTCAACTGTATTAAAAACCAAACGCATCTAGATTCCAGCTCCAAAGGCAAAGAAAATTCCCTACAAGAATGTTAAGAAAAATAAGAATACTTAGGCAGCATCTTCACCTTATAGAGGTCCCAGGCAGTGGGGTGGGGACAAGGCAGATGGAAAAGCTTTCCTGTAGCCAGTCAGTCAAGGGGAGATGGAACAAGAGCAAACAGCCTGCTGCAAGGCCACAAGGAATGGCAACCAGTAGGCTGAGGCCCAACTGACTTAGCTGGAGATCCTGCCCCTGCAGACAGTGGCAGACTTTGGGCTCTTAAATTTCAGCGGCGCCCTGTGCAACACTAAAATTGGGTGCTCTCCACCTCTCACACTCCATTGTACAGCATTGCTTTGGCGCCCCCTGCAACATGCCCCCCTCCCCAGTGCACCAGTTGTGCCACCCTATGGCTACCACTGCTGCAGATTACACCAGCAAGCAGTTTGGTTCCCCACCATCTCCCTCCATTCCAGTGCAACCACCAGTTGCCTCAGAACGAATCAGGGATTTGATCCACCGCTTGTACTCTCCACAAGGTGGCTCCTAAGCCCTGCCTATGTGGACCAATCAACTGGGAAATGGTGGTCTTAGGCCTGGTGATGTGATCAGTCCACAGCTGCAAGGAACAGTATGGGTGAAGAGAAAGTGGAAAAGATGTGGAGAGCATCTTGGTCCAGGTGGATTCCTCAGGTCAGGTTCTTAGGGGGAGGGTGACACTCACATGGCCTCCCTCAGCACACTAAGCCATAGGTGGCCATGATGGTCAGGAAGTAGTGCTTTAACTGGATTGTATCCAACTTTTGGATTTTGTTTGTATTACTCTGCAAAGTCCTGAACATCTTGGACCCAGGGTGCCTCAGGAACTGCCTTAACCCTTACAATCAAGGCTGATGACCAGTATCATCTGCTGGAGCATTGCGTTGTCTTTGTTGTCATTTAACAACCACAAGAAACAGAGCCTTTAGTGTAGTGCAGGCATAGACAAACTCGGTCCTCCATATGTTTTGAACTACAATTCCCATCATCCCTGACCACTGGTCCTGTTAGCTAGGAATGATGGGAGTTTTAGTCCCAAAACATCTGGAGGGCCAAGTTTGCCTATGCCTGGTGTAGTGTTTCTCAGACTTGGATCCCCAGCGGTTGTTGGACTACAACTCCCATCATCCCTAGCTAGTAGGACCCATGGTTAGGGATGATGGCAGCAATGGCACTGCTTTAGTGTCATTGGCCCAGTCCTGGGGAACATTCTACCCACAGAGATTCAGCAGCTGTTTTCTGGGCCAACTTTTAAACACCTGCTGAAAACGTTTGTATTTTGCCAAGGCCTGTGCAAGCAATTAAGAATGCATCCTTCCACAATGGTTAATAGACTGAGAAAGGATATACTCTCATTCTCACGTGTTCTCACTTGAAGCTGAAATCAAGTGGCTGCCCCAGTTCATTACCTCCATTAGTGGGTGGCAAATTGGGATGACCATTTCAAAAATTCTCAGAAGGGCAGGGCCTGAAACAGATCGTCAGAGTGGTATAGCAACCAGTGCCTCTTTCCAGGGAACTGGAAATTGTAGCTTCATAAGAGTCATAAGTTTCTGACAGCTCTTGACACCCTTAACCAACTACAGCTCCCAGTATTCCCTGAAGGAAGCCATAATTATTTAAAGTGGTATGATATTGCTTTAAAAATGTATGGTGTGGATGGGGCCTAAATGCTTTGAAGCCTGAAATTTCTGAACCAAATTTAAAATAGTTTAGAATATATAGCTTTTTTTAAAAAAACACAATACTAGGATGCAAGTGCAATTTCCAATTTGTTTGTCTTTTGGTGGGGAGGAGGAGAGATGTACAAACAATGCAACATTTTTCAGGGCACAGTTCACAGATGGCTGGTTTGGCATTTAGATCATTTCAGTGAAAGAAAACAGTAGAGAAAAAAATAGTTCCTTGTTGTTGAGGTCGCTTAGAGAAATAATTGCTGTTATTGACAGAGTGCTATTAAAAGGAGCTTCTAGAACTGTCAGACTCCTGTCTGTTTCGATGACTATTCCAGCATTCAGGTCTGCAAGGGAACCCTTGATTGCTAACAAGTGCTAGTATACATTTAAATTCACATTTATCTAGACATATTTTTCCTTCTGGGTGTATATGTGTGAATTTCTGTAAATATTTCACATATGTGCTTTGCAACCCAGAGTTCTTCTAAATCAGAAAGAGCCGTACAAGTATAGCACTGAATTAGAAATATATATATTTAATTCATGAAGATCATCTTATATGTTTTAGAACACTGTTTAAGCCAATCCTTACTCTGTTGAAAAGTGCTTATTAGAGGTAAATTACACATTTTACTACTGGAGCATTAGAGGTACCATTAGTGCAAATTTAAAGCACTGCAAAAAAAACCCAGTAATGTTAATTTCAAACATAGAAACTAAATATATTTTCTACCTTTTATTGCCCGTTCTCTCTCTAATTTTTATTGACTACCTTTTATCTTAACTATATGTTCTTACTCAATAGGATTGTAATGCACTGTAACGGTATTAATATTTTATAGAAGAAACTGTATTTATAGTTCTTTATTTGGAAACAATGCAGCAGGTCTGCAGATCTTTGAATCCTTCTGGAATGGTGCCCTCCAAATAATGATAAATTACTTGAGCAGAATGCCATTTGCTAATTATATCCATGATTTACTGCAGAGCAAGACTTAAATCATTCATTTCAGTCTTGCGTAACAGTGCCATAAAATTTTTAGGGTTAAAAATTGTTTCCATATGTATAATTTAAACAAATTTTAGTGCTATTGTTTACAGAAAAACATTGTAGTCATCCATTTGTTACATATTTTGTGCCCCCCCCCCCGGCTTGTACTTTTAATGATCACTGTGGTGGAATAGTTTTGCTTTGTTTTAATAATCATATCTTTTAATTCTGAAGCACTTTTAGCATATTAAGTTAAGGAAAATATAACTTGTGTGTTTATGCTGTGTAAGTCTTGAGTTGATAGAAAGTGATTCAAAGAAGAAGTTTTTTTTTATTATTTCACAGGGGAAAGAACTGGAATTAGAAAAATAATTAGTGGGTTTTTGGAACCATCATTATTGTAGAAGGATAGATGTTGATCCCCTCCCAAATAATTCATTTTAATACAGCTAATATACCTATTTATCTTTTGATAATTGCAGGTGAGAAACCTTACAAGTGTCCCCACTGTGATTATGCTGGTACACAATCTGCTTCACTCAAATACCACTTGGAACGACATCACCGGGAACGGCAGAATGGCGCAGGACCACTTTCTGGACAGTCTCAAAGTCAAGAACATAAGGAAGAGACATCAAATAAAGGATCAATGTTCATTAGACCTGAAGTACTGAGAGGAGCCTTCAAGGGTCTTCCTGGAATAGATTTCCGGAGTAGCATGGGATCTCAACAATGGTCACCAGGAATGCTTTCCTCAGGAGATCATCCAGGTCATTCAACTGGCATGTCTTCAGAGGTTTCTTCAGACGGCATCAAGGGGTCTGACATATCTTCCAAAGGGACACGCTTTTCTGAACTGGGCAGAGCTTACCATAGTATGGTTGGAAATGGAGTGAACTTCCAAGGGTCGTTGCAAGCTTTTATGGACAACTTTGTCCTCAGTTCCTTGAAGAAAGAAAAAGAAATGAAGGATAAAGTCCTGTCTGATTGCATTTCCACAAAGCCTCTGGCTTTAGAGAGTGGTGAGGAGAAATCATCTAATAAGCAGAGAAAAACAGAAAAATCACAGTATGAGCCTCTTGACCTCTCTGTGAGACCAGATGCAGCCAGTCTTCCAGGTTCATCCGTTACAGTCCAAGACAATATTGCTTGGCATGGCTGCTTGTTTTGTTCATTCACGACATCATCGATGGAATTAATGGCTCTTCATCTCCAAGCCAATCATTTAGGCAAGGCAAAGCGTAAAGACAGTGTTTTAGGATCAACTAGAAATGGTAAAGACCCACCCAGGGAGGCCATTGCTTCAGCAAATAAAACTAGCTTGCTGCTGACTTCCATACAGTCCAACAAAGATGTAGCGACTTCCAATTTGATTGGCCAGATAGACCCGGCTTCTGAAAGAATGAACCAAGGATCCAAGGACTCTCCAGGAGAACAGAGGAACACCCCTTGGCCTGGTCACATGGATTCCACTTTTTATAATTTTGCAGCAGACTTCTACAAGCAATTTGGCGTTTATTCCGGAGTTGTCGGAGCACAAAATGCTTGCACCGGTAACGACCCTGACATAAAAACACAAAGTGAAGATGACCCAAGCATGCTGCTTTCTGACTCTGTAAATAAAAGTGCTACTGACGACCTGTCAGACATAGCTTCCTCTGAAGACATGGAGTCCTCCAAGGAAGAAACCATTGATGATGAGGACATTGAAACAGAACCTGATCTTACGAACAAACCATTGTCCAATCTGAGCAAAGATGGTGCCGATAGAGGGGACAACGTACAAGGCTCTGTTGCCTCAAAAGGACTCATGCCGCCATTGCCACCTTCCGAAAAACAGTGGCACAGTCAGAATCTCCTCGCCTCCCATGAAGCTACACCAGGTGCCATGAAGCCTGAACCAGCTCAGAGCCCACAGGTCCTGGAGAAGCAAGTCAACATGTTGTCGGTCCTAAGAGCCTACAGCTCTGATGGCTTAGCAGCCTTTAATGGACTTGCAAGTAGCACAGGAAGTAGTGGATGTATCAAGAGACCTGACTTGTGTGGTAAGTTTTAGAATCCTTATTTCAGACCATTTCAGAGAAAAACAACAACCAACAAAATTACTGAGTATGTCAAACTGTGCTTGTTAGTAAATTTGGCTTTAAGATGATGTTTTAAAACCTTGGGACAAAATTCTACTTTGTTACAAAGCATGGACCTCCATTGAAATTAGTGGTGCTTCATGCAGCAGTACGTGGCCTTTATACGTGGTCCAGGCCATTAAAAAAATACATTGTGTAGTTTTTAATTAGATAAGTAGTTATATAAGACATTTGTATTTATGATATGTGACCAGAACATCTGCTGCTTCATTTTGATCAATCTGGTTTTATTTTATTTTTTAAACTGACGTGGTAACTTGCAACTTTTCAGCATTTGAACTGAGAAAAAAAAGTAAAAACACTAAATGCTTTGCCAAGCCTAAGCCTAGTTTGCTTTCCAAAAAAATTATTTCCTTATGTTGAATAAGGACATATTGAATATGCTCAATGAAATATAAATTAAAAAATCTGGGTGGGTTATTCCAATTCGTAGTTATATTTTTATAGAGAAATCCCAAAATTTATTAATCAGACAGTGAGGATTATATCCAATGTTAGTAAAACTCAGAGTTGACCTGCTGAGATTAGTGGACCTGCTTTAGCCCTGCTCATTAATTTCAGTGGATCTACTCTTTGTAGAACTTAGTTGGGTTCAATCCTAATATTTTATTATTTTCAAAAGCTAGGCAATTTACTGTTTAAATTTCCTTACACAATTTCCTTATGGTAAACAACACAAACATCAATTACCTAATTAATAAGACAGTTGTTTATGTATGAAAAACAAACAAACATGCTGTTGTCCTTGAGCAGGTGCATATAACCACTTTATCCCTATGCACAATTATTTTTGGAGTCACCAACTGGCTGGTTACACTGTCTAGGTCAACTTATCTAATCATTAGGTTATCTAGAATGTAAAGAGTTTGAACTTGCTTACTGCCTTGATGGTTTCAGCAAAGTCTATTTTTATTGCTTGTCCAAAGTGGGGTGCTTAGGAAGTCTGTGTCATATTATTGCCACCACATAGTGACACCAACATTCCTCATGTGTAGAGAGAGAGAGAGAGAAACTGGGTCCTTTTCCTTTTCTATATGATCCACAACCATGCAAGCCTCAAATACCAAAACTTCTAGTGTATAGGAAAACCCAGAGGTTTATGCAGCTTTCGGTGCAAATAGATTTAAACAAAACAAAAACAAAACAAAAACACCCTTTAATGAACAGAAAGGGTCTGTACAAATTCATCTTTTAATATGATCTCTGTAGTTTTAAAGCACAGAAAGAGCTGCAACAAAAATCCCAAGCAGACCATTTTAAAAAAAAATGAGTTTATATACTGCAGTGGTGATAAGAAATAGAAAAGAAATGTAAAAGCTCACTTAACTAGCTGAACATCCCGCCCCACTAGATGGTACTGGCACCCTGATCCTACAATTCCAGCTGTACAATGTGCACATTTGCAAACATGGGCGTGTCATATTCACACTTTCCATTTCTGGATGCGCCCTTAAGAAGTCTCAATGCATGGAGACTTCCTAGGACTTTCTGCACCAGCTTTGAAATCTTCAGAATGGGGGTATACCATTACTGGTCTGGCATGTTGTCACAAACCAAGATAGAACACCTCCACTGCAGGCTGATGTAAGTGCGTTGCAGGGGGTTGGACTAGATGACTCTAGGGACCCCGTCCAACTCTACAATTCTGTAGTTCAAAGTGCTCAGGAAGAGTGGAATGCAGAGGCACAAAAGCACACAGCCTAAATTCAGCTTATTAACCCAGAGAGGTAACATACACAGTAAGCAGTTTAGAAATAGCATTCAGCAAGCTGGGCGGGGGGTGGGGGTGGGTTGCAATGCCATACCTCTAAACTTTGCCTTTTGCAAATCAAGGCCACCCACGCTGCTTGGCTCAGAAATATGCTGGGCTGTTTATTTTTAAAATGTGGAATCACAGATTTACTAAATTGGAGCTTATTACACTAAGACAGAGGTCTCTTGGGCGGAAGTAAAAAACAATGAATTAAAGTAGTTGTTGGGAGACCATAGATTTAGAGGCTCCACCTTATTTTCTACTATTCTAGGGGTAGGTATGGGGTGGGGTCTAAAGCCCAGGTGTTGGAGTGGAGTGGGATGGAGAAGACTGCAGCATTCATATTGCTATATATCTGGCAAACCATCTCAAGGGCATTCACAAATCCACGTACAAGGACTGTTGCGGATCTAAACAAATGTCCGGCTGCTGGACATTTAAAATTGTCCAGCAAATTCAAGATACTGGATCTCAAATAAGTGGAGTTGCAGTCCATTAGGAAGGTTACACGCATGCCTTGAACTTTTAATATGCAGACATGACTGCAGGGCGGCTTTGAATGGAGAAGTGTGCCATTCTGAGCTCAGTTCCCATAACTATGCGGTGCAAAGAATGTTTTCCAAGTTGTCAAAAAAAGAAAGAACTATGGGATTTCTGACAGTTTGAAAAATATTGACAGCTGTTAATGTTATGCAAATTGAAAGTCCCACATTCCCTCCTTTTAATAGCTGTTCAGCCTCGTGATTATGAAAAGGAGGCTGTCTAAAAAATCTAAAATTTAAAGTTTCCCAGTGTGAGATTGTGATCAAAGTTTCACAACCTTACTTTCTATATAAGTGTTATATTCACTTATTATAAACCATATTATCATTGTCATCATCATCACTTTTGAAAACAAATCTGTTTTATTTTTTTAATTCCCCATCCTTCTAATGATTCAAAATTAATTTCATGAGTTGCTGAGTACACGAAAGTTTCACAAGCTGTGCCTTTTAACTGAGATAGAGCATCAGAGCTATGAGGCTGACCTGCAATAAGTTTGATTATTTTTTATACGTGGAGTTGCAGTTCAAATCCTCTTTCCCACACCTCCAGATTTTATTTTATTATAAGTTTGGGCTGATATCTTTACTAGCCATTTCCACAGAAGTCTTTGTAGTTGCAGACTATGAAGTTGTAGTAGCCTTGCAGGAGTATTCTTCAGTATTCTTAAGAGTTCTGCCAGTTTGTTCTCCCAGAGACTGAAAATAAATTAATGTATATGAAACGCAGATCATTGCTACTGAGTTTTCTGCTGCTCCTCAGACTAAGGAATTTTTGTGAGCTGCTATCAGAGCAAATGTGAGCCCCTTGGCCTGCTCTGAAAGAAGTTAATTGGTGGCATAGTCAACGCATTCCAAGACGCATCCCTTGTGATTGGTTGCATTTGTTGCTCATAAGTCATGTTTCCTCAGTGAATGGCTGTAGAGAGCAGTCATAATGGATGCCTGTTCAACTAGTAGTAACAAATCATGTTACCCAGTTGACCACTTGAGTTATCATGCATAATGTAAGCATCCTGGGAGATGGGTTGGGTGTAAGGCTGAACTTAGTGGAATGATTGTTGTTGCTTCACTTGGAGGGTTGAACTTAGAGAGCTTTAGACTAGCTTTGCTTGAAAGCTACTTGCTGAATGGCGTTTTAATGGAAATATGCTAACATCTCTCAACCCAAACAGTGTTACTGTCCCCTTCTTTTTCAGCCCAATTCAAGCAGGTTCTTGGCTGCTTTGAGCTAGTGAAATAGCACTACAATCCCAACTGTGTTGTCTTTTGGCTAACCCAGGTCCACCTATTATCATAATGGGGCACTTGGGACCTCTTCATGTGTTATAGTTTAGCAAATATACTGTGTGTACCCAGTAATACATGGGAGGGCTACATATTTATTTTGCCCCTCTATCTATATGCTGCAAGAAGTTGAATGGGTCCAGTCTCTCTGCCACACACATTGGAAATGTACATACGGTGAAAAGAATGTGAGTTTCTATTGCATATTATGGAGTACATGGTGGGTATGTATAGTGCTTCTTTTCATTTTGTAATGATTAAGTAACCCAGATTAGTTTTGCTTCTGCTTAAATGTATGAGTGTGCCTGACATTGCACAAATAGATGGATACAGTCTGTGCACCTAATGATGATCATTCTTTAGTTTAGTTTAGATAACAACTAACTGTAGACATTTGTCATTTATAGGGTTTTTTTTTAAAAAATAATACCTCCTGACGTTTTGCATTATCCCATTGCCATTATGAGTTTTAAAATGTGACTGATTCACTTGCTATGATGGTGAGACAGTCAGCAGGAATGTTCTACCCATATTGATCTCAACATCTGTTCTCCCCACTTGAAATAGGCTCTGTCATCCCAGTCAAACCTTCCCCAATCCTAGCTCAGAAAACAGTATAGTTTGTAGACCAAGACAATCATTCACTCTGCTGCTTTGGTGCCCATGTTTAATGGGTATGCATCTGGAGACCAAAATATTCCCATGCATTCACTTGCATAACGGACATGAGCAATGTTCTAGGATAAAGATCATTGAATGGCAGCATATTTTTCTTGTGTGTTTCAGCAAACTGGCTATTACAAAGTAATATGTTACTTTGTAAATAAGTAATTGATCCAGACTTGGCTACACACACACAAAACAAACAAACAAACAAACATGTTTGATTTGCTTAACCTAGCAATATGGACCAGATTTTCACTTAGATATATATACTGGTAACTGTTAAATCACTGAAGCAATCCAGTTTTATGTCTCTAGAGCCTTTATGTAAGAGCAATATAGGGCAAAATTGAAACTTTATGGTGAGCTGAGGGTTAGATCACTCTGTCAGCCACCATGATGACCATCTTGACCCCTACTGTTTTCATTGTTGCAAAACTGAGTTTAAGGGACCTTTGATCAGCTAACCAGTGGACAATTTGGTTCTTTTTAAAAGTAGGTAGGTGTGTGTGTGTGTGTGTGTGTGTGTGTGTGTGTGGAGAGAGACAGAGAGAGAAACATCAAGGTATAATACTGAGATATACATATACCCTGTAGCTTTAGGGAAGGAATGTCTCCTGCTTTTTAAGAATTAGTTCTTCATACCACTACCTTCT